CATCTAAACGCCAGCAGCCACACAAGAACTTTACCTAAATACAAAATGAGCAATTTCCTGATTTAGATTTAAAAAAATGTGATCAAAGAATAATAAAATAGGATTAAGAATGTGACAGAGCATGTCAAAGTTACTTAGGCTATTTGAGAGTTTTTGATATTCAATGCTACAGACATATTTTAGTTGATACTCAAAAAGGTACTGAGGATTGATATGCCACCCTAGGCATCACCTCAAGAAGTGTTGAGTCATATCTTGACATAACTGACACTGTGGTGATAAAAAGAAGAAATCTGGCAGTAATCTGATTACTAGCTGCAGCCCAGACTACACTATATGAGCAGGAGGGAGTTGAGACAGAAACCAACTACATAATTACCAGAGGAACACCTAGTGCCCACCTGTCTGATTAGTATTGGCTGCACTCCCCATAGCCTGCAACATAATAAATACTGTAATACTTTGAGATGAGAAGTAAATTCAGAGAGCGTCTCCCTGTTCTGTGTTGCTATCTCTCTTTGACAGAATATGACTAGAATATTTTATTTTGTTTTACTTCCGCCATATATTTATTTGCATTCGGTTACGCTGACATACTGCTGATGGTTTGTGCAAAGAACAAGTTGTGTGACAGCATTTTTTTCCAATTGTAATGATGGTGATACATGAAAGCATTTATTGGTTCTGTTAGGTGTTCAGCTGCGTGTCAAACACTTGCATAAGAGCCCTAGAGGACTTACATTTTACTTTACATTTTAGTCAATACAATATAAGAAAACAGGGCAAATGTCCATTACAATTTCCTAAAGCTCAAGGTGATGCCCCAACGCTCCAGCATCCAAATATATTCATTTTACTATCACGTAACACAAAGAAAAGCAATGCTAATGCAATTGTAAGCCTGGTTTATAGACCTGTTGGTATGGCCCAGCCCTGACGTGCACAATGTACAATCATTACAACCTTTTGTGTTATTTTGATGTGACAGCTTAAATCTGCGTCTCTTTGTTAACCTTAACACCTGGCTTTGTTTGTTAAAGGTCCTGTGTGTAGGATTTAGCTGCATCTAGCTGTTCAGTTACAGATCACAAGTTCGTCGCTTCACCCTCCCCTTTCCAAGGAACGAGAAACTATGGTGGCCACAAACACCCCTATCAAGAGTCAGTGTTTGGAAAGCGACCCACTCTCTGTAGATATAAATGGCTAATTGTAAGGTAACAAAAACATAGCAATTCCTGTATTCAGGTGATTATATACTAATGAAAAAAGTAATGCATATCATATTCAATTTCTGGCAACAGAGCCTCCAAAATGTTACACACAGGACCTTTAAAATGAAACACACTCCAACCTAGTGCCATTTATGCATAACATGTGGTAATCTGTCTCATGTCAGTACTATTTGAATAGTCATAATGGGTTAAGGAGTCGTTAGTTATCAACTGTTTCACTTACCCTATGAAACTCAATCAGTGGACCAAAGCGAGACACTTTAATAAGTGGACTTTTCACATCCCTGTAAAACTCTTGAGTGACGAACATGAGCAAAGGCAGTGTCACACGGGGACATTCAAACTTGAATACCTGAGGTGGCCATACACCTACTTGAAAGGCATGCTGTAGGCCAAGTAATGATCGCACATGCTTGGAACCTCAGGTTTTAATTACAGGCTTCCACAGGCAGACAAGAGCCGCCACTTCTAATCTGAATCAATGCACGGAGACAAATAGGCTCTCACCCACGCGCTGTTGCTGATACTTTCCAACTACAAAAGCCTTCACACAATCAGAATGACAGGTAACTGTCAAAGCACAGGACAGGATGTATTCTTAAAACAAGAGCTTTAACACAATTATGCCTGACTAGACTAAAATGCATTTGACTTATAATTTTTTGAGCTTGATGGGCTGTCTGAAATATTTCAGCGACTGGGAGATGTCTGATGTTTCGCTTATGTGTGGCAGGAGTCTCAGTGATCAATAAGGGTAAATTTGCTAATGCTGCTCATTAAACTGTGGTTGGAAAGACATTGCAGAAGGAAAGACAACAACAGCTAGAACTGCAGAGGATTCAAAGGTTTTGTAACAAATAGAGCAGAGATCCTCAAACACTGCCAAGGGCACACTATGGACTGAAGTTCAGTCTGTATACAGTCGTGGCCAAAAGTTTTGAGAATGACACAAATATTAATTTTCACAAAGTCTGCTGCTTCAGTTTTTATAATGGCAATTTGCATATACTCCAGAAAGTTATGAGGAGTGATCAGCTCAACTGCAATTAATTGCAAAGTCCCTCTTTGCCTTTACTTTATCTTTATCCCCCAAAAAACATTTCCACTGCATTTCAGCCCTGCCACAAAAGGACCAGCTAACATCATTTCAATGATTCCTCCGTTAACACAGGTGTGGGTGTTGATGAGGACAAGGCTGGAGATCAATCTGTCATGATTGAGTTAGAATAACAGACTGGACACTTTAAAAGGAGGATGGTGCTTGACATCATTGTTCCTCTTCTGTTAACCATAGTTACCTGCAAGGAAATGTGCAGTCATCATTGCATTGCACAAAAAAGGCTTAACGGGGAAGTTTATAGCAGCTAGTAAGATTGCACCTCAGTCAATCATCTATCGGATTATCAAGAACTTCAAGGAGAGAGGTTCAATTGTTTCCAAACAGGCTCCAGGGCGCCCAAGAAAGTCCAGCAAGCGGCAGGACCGTCTCCTAAAGTTGTTTCAGCTGCGGGATCGGGCCACCACCAGTGCAGAGCTTGCTCAGGAATCGCAGCAGGCAGGTATGAGTGCATCTGCACGCGCAGTGAGGCGAAGACTTTTGGAGGAAGGCCTAGTGTCAAGAAGGGAAGCAAAGAAGCCACTTCTCTCCAGAAAAAACATCAGGGACAGACTGATATTCTGCAAAAGGTACAGGGATTGGACTGCTGAGGACTGGGGTAAAGTCATTTTCTCTGATGAATCCCCTTTCCAATTGTTTGGGGCATCTGGAAAAAAGCTTGTTCGGAGAAGACGAGGTGAGCGCTACCATGAGTCCTGTCTCATGCCAACAGTAAAGCATCCTGAGACCATTCACGTGTGGGGTTGCTTCTCAGTCAAGGGAGTGGGCTCTCTCACAATCTTGCCTAAAAACACAGCCATGAATAAAGACTGGTACCAGAACATCCTCCAAGAGCAACTTCTCCCAACCATCCAAGAGCAGTTTGGTGATGAACAATGCCTTTCCCAGCATGATGGAGCACCTTGCCATAAAGCAAAAGTAATAACTAAATGGCTCGGGGAACAAAACAAAGATTTTGGGTCCATGGCCAGGAAACTCCCCAGATCTTAATCCCATTGAGAACTTGTGGTCAATCCTCAAGAGGCGGGTGGACAAACAAAAACCCACAAATTCTGACAAACTCCAAGCATTGATTATGCAAGAATGGACTGCCATCAGTCAGGATTTGGTCCAGAAGTTGATTGACAGCATGCCAAGGAGAATTGCAGAGGTCTTGAAAAAGAAGGGTCAACACTGCAAATATTGACTTGTTGCATGAACTCAGTGTAATTGTCAAAAAAACTTTTGATACTTATGAAATGCTTGTAATTATATTTCAGTATACCATAGAAACATCTGACAAAAACACCTAAAAACCCTGAAGCAGCAGACCCTGTGAAAATGTAATATTTGTGTCATTCTCAAAACTTTTGGCCACAACTGTAGATATCAGCAGTATTTGGGTACAAGACAAAATAAGTAGAAAAATAAAGTGTAACAGCTAAAATTTTACATTTACAGTTTTATTTTACAGATATTTTACACTGCTTTCCACATGCAGAAAATGTTTAATTAGATCATCCTGGGAAATGCATTGACAATGCAGGTGCATAAATAAGAAAATTAACAATTACCTAAAGAGAGGAACATGCTGCTGTGTAATGATAATCTTTGTAGTGGGAAACTAATCCAATGAAGAATGCAAGCTATACATTATAGCAAATCCTCCTGCTCTCCTCTGTCATGCATTCCACAGGATAATTAACACAAGGCCTCGCCAATAGTCTACCTGGGTCTCTAAAGGACTACGCTGGTAGTAAGCGTAATAGGAGCAACGATGAAAGAGAGTGGGAGAAGGATGAATGGCCGAGTCCCTTGGATTAATAGTGCTGTGGAGGAAGAAAAGGCAGGGCAGGGAGTGAGGATAGGTGTGGAATCCTTAATCGTCTCTTTGCACTCTATAAGCCTCTCGAGTGACCAGTTGCCAGAAGTACATTTATTCCCGAGCACTTAAGATAAATGGGTCGATGCTGGCCACTCTTGCCTGTTTTCTTGTCCTTTGGCAAGAAGAAGCAGTCTGTAGCCAAATGTACGGGAGAGCTTGTCAGTCTGTGGAAAGTATACTAGGATTTATGTGCTTTGTAGAGCCTGTAGTTACTGAGCAGAACTGCTTGTACAACAGACACATACAGTATGCAATAGGGATGGAAAATAATACATTTTCATATTTGATCAATTATCGAGTACTCGCAAAAAAAAAAATTGGTTGGTAAAAGAAGTCTTCTGCTGGTTTACTTTTTGACAGCATGCTTGGCTCTAGACTTTAGTCTTGTTTTCCCATTCCCAGTCAATTCATTTCCCTCCCTTTCTCTGGGTACTTCCATGCCATTGTTCAATTTGTACTATTCCTTCTCTGTGGTTATCTCAAGATTATCTATCCAACCATTTTCCTTTTTTTCTGTGGTCACTCCCAAAGTGGTCATAGCTTGGACACCACATGCACACCGGCAGTATATGGTTACCATGATATTGCTCTTTCAGTGCATTGAGACGCTCCTACTCCCCCTTCCGCCATCACTGTTCAGGTCCTCAATGGCCATGTGGTCTGATCCGCTTGAAATCAACACAATACAAACAACTGCACAGCAGATAATATACTATTCAAACAGTATCAATAGGATTGGTGTTTACAGTAACATGCTTCTTAAAATAATTAATGGAAATACACAGACTGGCTGATTACTGCACTTTATTGAAGGCTTTGGAAAAAGCAACAAGGATTATTTCCCATCAACACGTAACCAAATTTATAACCAAAAAAACATCTCTCTACTGCGTGTTGTGTTCTAAACTTAATAATAACCATCATCAACATAATGCATGTTCAGAAATCCTCTAAAGTTAAACTAGTTAAGAAATTAACATAATAGTAAGAAAGGTCTTTCGAGTTTCAAGGATAGGTAAGGCTGACAGCATAAGGCCGTAATTCTGACTGCTACTTAACTCTATCACAGTGTCAAAGGAGCTAGTGTCAGGATTTTCTCCTTCCCAGGGAGGTTGACCAACCTAATGAGAATGAAACCATATTAATCTATAAGTTTTAGAAGAACAGACCATACAGGCAGGGTGACCCAGGGTAATTGTTTCTCAGTGAGTTTTCAAAATTACAACAAACAATAGATATTTTTCTAAACCACGTTTCGAATCTGCTTGAAACGAGTCGACATGCCAAAATTCAGTCACATTTCTAATTTTTTCTTTATAATATAGGTTTACCAAACTTCTAAGTAATTATTCTTCTGAGACCTCCTTGAAAAACTGGTTCTTCTGTCAATCAAATATATCAAAGCTTCATCTCTACCACTAAAAAGTCGTTAACAACGTATCAGAAAAAAGGGCAGCTTCACAAAACAAAGTATTTTGACTCCACAATGTGACTTTCTTCTTAACAGCCACTTAGGTCAGAATTCCTCAAATCCTTTCAAATTAAATAGTAAAGACACTACATAATGGTGTTTGCAGTCAGTCCAGTATTTTGTACAAGTTAGCACTGAGACATGAAATACAGCAAAAATTCAAGATGTGGGTCTTAATGCAACTAAAGCCTAATTTGCCACAATCCTGCTGACCTGCTCCAAGGCCTTCTACCACTGTGTTAAAGTCCAATGATGTGAGAAAAAGACGAAAACATGTGAAACAGTTTTTGGTTATTAAAGTGCTCCGACACACCATCAATTAGCAGCAGTATCTATATACATAGAAATGTGGTTCAGCACTCTTACAAATCAACCCTTTAAAAATCACCCATTTTACTGTCAAGAAAAATTCCCTCTAACCCCAAAAAGAAAGAAAAACACTTTCCAGTTCTCTCAGTAGTTACTTCATCTTGACCTCTGGTTATGACAAAATTATTATTTTTTAAAAATGGAAGAGAAATTAACACAAAATAAAAACAAACTAAAAAGTAAAATAGCATCATGCAGAATATCATCCATACTGTACATACATACAAAATTACATTTCTTTTTTTCTCTTTTTAAGAATAGATTCTGTAAACACTGCTTTAGGTCCTTTAGGTACGGTTTATCCACATTTCTGCTACAATCTGGATGTTTTTCCATTGAAAATAGTCCGCGGCTCCTGCTCTGGCACCTGCAGGTGATTTTTCCTTCATACTTCTCAGCCCACTCAACTTTTATACCATCCGTCCAATTTTCTACTCATTTCAAGTTAAAACCACAGAAAGAGAAGAAACTAGTAGAATTGAGTGGAAGCTCTAGTGTGGTGGTGTTTTTATGTGGATACTGAAGTGAAGTACACATTTTTAAGTACCCACATAGACCCAATCTTGATTTAAAAAAAGGATGTATAGGAATTCAAATAGAGAAAAGGACGAGGGGTGTTAGCTAAGGGCAGTCGACAAGGCTAAGTCTGAATATAGATAAGGCATAGCATGGGTAGAGGTTGGGAAGGTTTGGATTAGGACTCCACACGTCGGGCAGATTGTTAGCCTTTTTAGTACGCTTTCAAAAATGGGGGAGAGGGTAGCAATGGGCAAAGATTTTTGTGTAAGGTAGCGAAGGATTGTAGATGCAATTCAAAGGCCTTGGAGGAACTCCTGGAGCTGCCTGACGAGCTCCGTGTCCACGGTCTCCATCAGGACCCCAAATCCTTGGTCTCCCATCAGGGCCTGCTGTGCCTTCAGCTTATCATAGACAAACTGCTGGAGAGAAACGCTGTGCACCGGGTCCTCCAGGGCCAACTGTAATGGGATAAAGAAAATGGAAAGGGGAAAAATTACAGTTAGATGCCGCCTGAGGAAGTTTCTCCAAGTCAGCGTTTTGAGTGAAAGACCATGGGTTACCAAAGATATAAAATTTACTGACAGTAAATGAGATGCTCATATTCTTTGTCATGCACTGACTAAACAAAAAACTTTTCAAGTAACACAATTTCTCAAACAAATGCTGCAAATTAAATGCAGGCATCATTTCTTTTTCAGTCTCGTCCTCTTCTCCTGAGCAAATACAAGGAGGGTATATTTTGGCAGCAACTGAAGGTTTGGTTCTTCTTGGATATGTCTGCACTGTTCCGGATTTGGGGATTTCCTTTTCTCTCATTCTTCCTTGCAGATTTGCTCAAACTCATTCAAGTTGGAATATTGTTTTGTAGGGATTCAAGTCTGGTTTTGGCTGGGTCAGTATGGGATTTCACATTATTGTTCAGGTATTTCAGGTTTGATTTTGTATGTGATAATAGCTTCAGCGTGCTCTGTCTACCATGCTTTACAGTCTTAATACTATGCCAAGCTTCTCCCAAACCTAGCATTTTATATTATAGCTGAAGAGATTGCAATCAGTCTTGGACTCTTTTTTTGCAAACCTTTTTTTTTTTAACAATGACCTAGTACCGGCCAATCATCTAAGTATTCAGCCCAGCTATGCACTGCACTGACTGTTGTCATTCTAATAAGGTCTCACATTTGATAGTGGTGGGACATCTGACATGAAGAGGGAATAGATACTGACAAACGTGGTGAATTTGAAGTCTTCAAATTCCTGGACAATTAAGTACTGTCCTGTGGAGAAGGCGTAAAGATAACTGAAACTACACTGATATCAAAACCATCATCTTTGGTTGCTGTAGTGGTATGGAAAAACTTATTGTAGTTCAGATCAATAAATGTACTTAAATGTACAGTATATACTTATTTGACTTCTACTTAGGGCTGAAACGATTGCTCGAGTAACTTGAGAAACTCGAGTTTCAAAGCATTGAACTATTATTAACTACAGTCATACAGCTCACTGTGAGAGAAAGCAACATGAAGTATCTAAAGTTTGGGATCATTTCAAGCTGAAACAAAATGAAAACTCTGTGGAGTGTCTGTTGTAAAACTCACTTAGCCTAGCACAATAGCACAACGTCAGTGCTTCACTTTGAAAAGCTAGTTAGCAGTTATAAAAATATCACACAAGAAAATGATCAATCATCTGATTGCATGCGGCTTCCAGCTCAGCAGCTCCAAAACATATTCCTTCCAGTTTCCACAATTTTTATTGTCTTTAACCTGATTTATAGCTGCTAAATAGCTAACTGGTTGTCCACAGTCTGGACCAATTCAGCTGAAAACAGTAAAAGAATACTGCAACATGAGCTTATCTACACACTTTATGGCTGACAAAAGAAATGTAACTACCCTTCCTTAAAGGGGAAGGCTCAGCCGGTAACACATAGATGCGGTTAGGCTGTGGGTGTGCCAACTATAGGTGGATGACAGCTGCAGCGCTACTTCTACCTTACAATCTAGAGCACAACTATACATTACATTTCCATTGCAGGGTAATATAAAAAGAGATAAAGCCCAAGCCCTATTCACAGTAAATGACAGGAACAAACACATAAAGTCAGGTCAATATATATAGAGGCTTTATCTGAGCAACAATAAAGATTCTTTTGAAACTATTGACTGTATAATTCAATTAATTCTTAAAAACCAAAAAACTAATAATATAATTTATAATTACACTGCTTAACAAAAATCCACAATCAACAAAAATAGTAGCTAAAAAGAACATTCACCAGTAATGCTCTCACACAAGTTACTTTTGGCAAAAACTTTTTGACATACACATCTAACACAAAACTTACGCTAGAGAAAATGATACAGTATATGGAACTGATACCATTCATCTTACACGGAAGACAGCACAGAAAAAATAATCCTTGACAATAGAGTAAAAAGGCACAGACAAGTTAGATGGCTAACTAAAGCAAACATGTTTCTGTTGGCAAGCATACTGTCATTTATTTTCTTTGGAAAGAAGCAAGGCCAGAAGAAAACAACTGCATGGAAATGTCAGAAAGCCTGCACCGTTTGCAAATAAATAAGAGGGTTATATGCGTACAACAAAACTTTCCTATAAACAGTATAGCCACAGTACAAAACTTTGTTGTTTTGGAAAATAAATAAAAAAAATGTATTATGTGATTTAAAAAAAAAAAAAAAAAAATAAATCTAAATGGTACTTTTAGCATCATGCAAATTTGAATCTGTCATGCACCCTTTAATAACCAAGGGTTTAAAGTTATATTTGTGTGTGTGTATTTGCATGAGAGTTTGTGCACCCGCCTGCCTGCAGCTGGATTCTGGCTCTTTAATTTGCTTTGATTTAACCACAGATTAACTGTTATTACATAATGTTGCATGACCCTCCTCCTCAAACCTTTGAAAGCAGGTTAATGTAGTGAACTACATAAGCACAAACTCCCTCCATGACTGGATCTTCTTTATAATTTAACATAACCAAACTTGACATTTGAGCAGGTTTATGCACTATTGCTCATGCAGTCCCAGAAGAGCCCGACAAATCCCTCAGAAAAAAAAGAAAAAGAAAACGTTGGTTCCTTTGAGAAGCAGGATATTGTAATGACAACTCTTGGTCTCTAGCCAATCACCAGAAAGAATACTTGTCATGCTAATTAGTTCTTTGTCATTATAGTGCAATCAAACTAGTGAAGAGTGGCTGTTGGAGAGAAGCTTAATGGAAAAGCTGTCATCTAACCTGCATAATTACCTTCAGCACAAGGACCTGCTGGAAGTATGTGTGTGTCTGTCTATTGAGGACTGTATCCTCTATTATGTGTGCGTTTGTGAAACCATGGCACGGACTCTAGTGTGGTTTGGAGACAAATATCAAGGTCTTTGCAAGCCTCTCTTAATCACTATGATCATCATAAATAATCTAATCTAACCTAATCTGATCTCTGCAACAATGTGCCTGATATAAGAGGACTGGGCACATCAATCTGAATGACAGTATATATCTTGTGTTTGTATTAAGAAAGATATAAATATAAAATAAGTGTGTGCATGTCTATGACAGTGTGTGTGTGTCTCTGTGTGTATAAGAGTGTTTGTGCAGTACTTATGTAAATTGAAAAGGATAATACAAAGGTAAAAATGCAACAGATGAAGACAGTTCAATTAAGAGGAAGAGCAGAATGTAAACACGATCTTATGGGTCGACATGAGCTTAAAAGGCAGAATGTTCAAGATAGCTGACAACAAAGCGCTGTGATAAAGAGCAATATGCTGACAACAAAGCGCTGTGATAAAGAGCAATATGCTGAAAACACCTGCTGTGCTGAGACTCTGCGCACAAAAACACAGCACTGATACAAACCAATCTGAAGAGTGAAAGCTACCAATGAGAACAATAAGCATGATTCACCAACATCCTTGGGGAAAATAGAAAGAGAAGAAAGAACAAAGGAGGCACGAGGCAAGGAGAAGTGAGGATGTTTGATTGCTAGGCATGCCAGAAAGGTGAAAAGGACAGTAGAGAAACTGGCAACAAGGAAACACAAATGCAACAAGAGTAGGGAGTATTGACATGGAAGAAAAAGGATTACCAGGAACTGACACAATGACGTCGTAACAAAGATCAGCATAAAGAAAGCAAATGATGAAAAGAGATGACGCGGGACACAGAGACAGTTGTACCCCTCAATGTTCAGGAAAGAGAGGAGGAGCAAAGAGAGGAGTGGGCAACATGAGAGGAGGCAGAAAAAGATGAAGAGAGACAGATGAAATGACAGAGCCTGTGAAAGCCCTCATCTCTAATGCAATCCCTGGACTACCGCTGCCCTTTTCCAAAGCAAACAAAGTAAAGAGTCCCATGCCATTACTGTAAAAACATCAGTGTTGTTCAAAATTGGCCTGCACCAGAGATTTTTAACATCTCCCACTTTAACACACACAACGTGCACACACACAAACAAGTGTGCAAACAGCCACTCTCTGAATGACAGGTCCACACAAAGGCAAGCACATTCGTATTGAAAACCAACTACATACATATAGCTACTGTTGAATTAGAAAATCTTGGACTAACCAGCAGTCACACATTCACTGATTATCAGGAGAGAGGAATGAACAATAAACAAACATGTTTGAGTAGTCAGAAAGTTGAAAAAAATATTTATAGGCCCACTTGTGTTCATTACCACTCCATTCCTCTCACAGTTATTTTCTCACCACAGTAGCCTGCTCCATTCAGCGGAAAAGCGTGTTTGTGACAGAAGACATAAAAGGAAGCCAAGTCAGGCAGGCAACTGCTAACTGGAGTAAATGATGAAACAACCTGTACTTTTCCAGCCTTTATCTCATATCCCATGGTGCCTCACGTCTTAACGGCAAACACACAAATACAGTACATGAGTGTGTGTAAAGAGAGTGTGATGTAACGAGCTGTGGGGCTGTATGATGTACTGAAGTAAGAAGAAGTGAATTGTGTAAGGGGATACTGACAGTGTGGATCTGAGGATTACACTGAGGGCAGATGTTAATTTCATCAGCTAATTTATGACACATCATCTCGGCAGCCAGTCGCCCTCGGCAAAGCTGACTGGACTTGCAAGCTGCTCTCAAGTGGTCAAATTTCACTCAAAGCATCAAGTTGTTTAAGACAAGTGCTTCTCAGCACATGCTGTAATAGCTTCATGCTTGTGTTAAACAAATCATCAATATGCTGCTTGAAAATGTGCTTTTTTAATTTATAAAATGTACTTGGATGTGAAGACTAATGGTCTGGGTCAGTCAGGAGATAAAATGAGTGTGTGTTGTTGGAGGACCAGTTGCTGACTTTAATTCTCTTTACAATTATTTTTCAAAGAATGTCCATTTCATGCAAGAATTTAACTTGCATCATTTCAGCAGTTGCCTAGAGGCACAACTATAATCACAGTCTCCATGTCGCT